GAGGCATTTTGCAAAATCTTTTAAGTGAAGAAACCTCATGCAGTAGAAAAGATAAAAATGATTATACCTAAGCATAGCTCAAGACACACTAATTCCTCTACTCTTTTATCAAAGTGATCTGTTGACCGCTACAAAGTTGACTTTGACTTTATTTTTGACTTCATCAAATCAATAAGATCTTTGTCGAGTGTTTCAATAAGATATTCATCACTTTCATACAATAATTAATATTCTTAAGTAATTTATATTTTTATTTATAATTTTTAATATATATTTGAGAAATTAATCAATTATAATCTATTATTTGAAAAACTAATCAATTCTAATCAATTATTTAGAAAACTAATCGATTATAATTAATTATTTGAAAAAATTATCCAATATGATCGGTTATTTGAAAATTTAATCGATCATAATGATTGTATATGATAGCGGTTCCACTCGAACCGCTCTTAAAACGTAACATCTAATAACTGTTAAACCTTAATCGCTATCTAAAATATAGTTTAGATAGCGGTTAACGTGGAACCGCTATTATATAGTTTCAAATATAAATTTAAATATATTTTTAATTTATTTAAATATGCTTTATTTTTAGTATTTATAAAATAGATTAGTTTAAAATTTTTAACTTTTCTAGCGATCTATTTTTAATCTTTGTTATTAATTATGTTAAAAATGAAAAAATATTAATTAGTATACTTAAACTAATGTATATTGATTATCTAATGTATATTGATATAATTTTTTTGTATATCAATTATATGAAAATAACCATGGTTAAGTAATTAATAATAATAAAGCAATAAATTTAAAGATTAGATTAAAAATAAAGTTTTATAAAATAAAATTGTAATAATTTGATTAAAATTTTATTTTCTTAATTAATTAAGTTAATGAGGAATTAAAATGTGATCATTTGATGTGTTTAATTTTTTTAATATAAATTTTTAAAATATAATTTAATTTCAATTGAAATTTTCAATTGAAAAATAAATTAAAGAATATTTATTATTAAACTTTTCTTAAACAATGTATTGAATAGTTAATATTACTCTAGTCTTAATTTATTACAATTTAAATTTTTAATAAATTTGATTTATTTTTAATAATATTTTTATTTTAGTAATTTAAAATTAAAGTTAATCTTCATTTTGTTAATATTGAGACCAAAGTTTAATTTTAAAGTATCTTTTAAAAATTAAATTATTTTTAGAAAATAAATTACTTTTAAAAAATAAATTGTCAAAAATATACTAAAACAATTAAAGTATATTTATAAAAAAATAAATTTAAATACCATAAAAAAATAATGTTAGTTAGCGATCGATTTAAATTCGATCGCTATTTTCTCATTAGCTGATCGATTATAATTCGGTCACTATTTCAATTTGTAATTCGATCGCTAAATCGAGTCGCTAAATGATTTTTTTATTTTAGTGTGGAATAGCCATCGATTTAGCGATCGAAATTTTGCGACGCAAACTATTGGTCGCTATTTTGGTCGCTAAATAACAAAATGAAAACCAATTCATATTTTGGTCGCTAAATCGATTCGCTAATTGCGACCGAATTAAAGTGGTCGTTGAATCGAGTCGCTAATTGCGACCAAAATTAAATCGATCGCTAAATCGGTCAGCTAATTGTGACCGAAAAAATTCGATCGCTAATTTCGGTGGCTAAATGTGATTTTTCTTGTAGTGAATATATATATATATATATATATAAATATATAAATATGTAAATATATAAATATGTAAATATATAAATATGTAAATATATAAATATGTAAATATATAAATATGTAAATATATAAATATGTAAATATATAAATATATAAATATATTTGTATATAAATATAATTTATTTGTAAATTGTTATCAAAAAATTCTACTAGCTTAGTGGTTAGAGTATCAGTTTCTAACTCTAAGGTACTGGGTTTGAATCTTGTCAATGATATTTATCTATCTTAATTTGATAGTAATTCATTTACTGATCGGATTTTGACCGTCGGTAATTTTAATATTTCTTGTAGTGACTAAATTTATTAAAATACTCTTAGTCTCTTCGCTAATTTTTACAAATACATTATTAAGTATTCTAAAACAAAATTTACCGACGGATTTTGACCATCGGTAATTTTAATATTTCTTATAGTGACTAAATTTATTAAAATACTCTTAGTCTCTTCGCTAATTTCTACAAATACATTATTAAGTATTCTAAAACATTATTATTTATTAGGGGACAAATTAAATTAGAAAAAAGTTATGATGCTTTATTAAAATCTAAAAGTTTCCATCAATATAAGTTATTTTAATAATTAGAATTAATAAATTTAGAATGAAGGAGGTGTTTTTTCTTTTTCTTTTTCTTTTATGTTTTTTAATCATGTTTAAGGTAACATAACTAGAAACTGAAAATTATACCACTTGAATGAGGAACACAAATTACTACTACTTATATAAAGAATGTTAGTTAAATGTTTATTACTATTATATATATACACGTATTATAGGTAAGTTATGTAACTTTAGATTTATGTATTTTGTATTTTCTTAGATACTTTACATTACTTTAAAATAAAAAACATTAAAATGATTTTTATAATATTTCTCTCTTATCAATATAATAACAAAATAAGTTCAATCAACAATGGTAAAATCAAAAGGAGGTTCCATAGAGCATTCATCAACAAATAGCACAATTTATTAAATAATTCTTAAATTTGTACACCATAATAAATAAATCCCATTAAATGAATAATTTAGTGATAAATAATTTTAAATCTCCCTCTTAATTCTACTGTACTTATCATATAAAGAAAATACTTAATACTTTTTTTTCTAAAATTCAAAACAATAAATATATTTATCTTTATTCTTTAATACCTTTTTTATTGATTATTTAAAGAATTTAATGAATTATAAAGTAATTAAAAATATTCAATATCAAGATTAATTGTGTTTGGTAGTTTCTTAGCACTAATTGAATTTATCTTTTCATTTAATACTTTATTTATAATGTATTAAAAAGATTTACAGGAAAGCCAAAAGTACTCCTTAATTATATAATTAATTTTACGTATGCTTGTTTCAAAATATTTGTTAATTTGAAAAGAAAAGAAAAAACTAAAGAAAACGCTATTTATTTTTTAAGTAATTTTGGGATTTGACTTTTTTTCAATAAATGTAGTTTTATATAAAAATGTTATTTTATGATGTAACATATGCAGTTAATATTTTTTTTAAGAGAAGTTATCTTTAAACATTAATAGACGAAATGCGAAGCCAGAAATTCATTAAAACTTATAATTATATTTAAAATACTGTATTAAATTGATGTATCTTCTATAAAATGAATATTTTTTTTTTCAGATTATTTATATGCATCATGAACTATGATGTGACAATATTTGATATTCTAAATCATTGTAAAAATGTAGTATTGAATCATTTTACTAATATAAAATATTTTATATTTAATTTTTTTAATCTATTGCTAAGCTCACATTAAAAAAATCATTATATATATATAAATGTTTTTTACTTTTGAAAAAAAAAGTGATTAAGAAGAGGAATTCACAAAGTATTTGAACTGATTCTCATGACAGAGGAGATTACTCTGAAAGAATGATTGAAAATATTCCTTATAAAATATATAAGAATAGTTTCACATTTGGAAAATACTAAGAATGAGTTAAAGAAATAGAAAAGGTAATGAAAACAATTAATCATTATTTTAAATAAAATAATATTAAGTATTGTCTTGGTTATTATGAAGAAAGAAAAACAAAAATATATTTATTTTGTTACAAACATAAAATAATGTTTAATACTTATTTTTCAAACAATTAAAAGCATTTAATATATTAAATATTTATTATTTAATAAATAATGTATTTAAAGTATTCATTAACAATCACATTTAAATAATTAAAATATTTAATAAAATATATTGAATGCTCTTATGACCATAAAAAATATATTAAATATTCTGTAATTATTATTTTTCTAGACCTTTCTTAATACGTTTTCCACTTCTTAGATAACTTTCAATAAATAAATAAAAAAAAACAGTCATGAACAATTCTTAAATTTTTACTTTAACACATATTTTTATTGACTTTTTTTGTTTTAATTAATGACACTCATTACTATCCATAAATACGGTTTGCCACACACTATTGTCCATTTCCTTCTCTTCTTCCCTGAGTTATTATTATGAAGGCTATTTGGTGGGTAGTAAAAACCATAAGTGGGACCCACACATTTGAGACAGCAAAGGTAGTGTGGTCCTCCAATGATATATATGAAACAAACAATCTTGGATGACATTGTCTTCCAAAAGTGGCTCCTAGATAGTTTTAGAATTCATAATGATTTAGAGAGAAAGAGAGAGAAAGATTATAGATACATGTATTTGTATCTGAATCGTCTGATTCAGGAGTGAACCATTGATCTTTCTTTGAGTTTAATATAATGGGCATATTTAACAAATAGGGTGTGTGATTTTTCTAGCCAACGCATATCAGAGTAGAGATTATACTGAAATATTTTGAATCAGATTTAAAACTATTCATAGACTCTGTTTTTTGGCAAAGTAATATTTAGTTGCCTTAGATTTGCTTTGTTTTTATTTTGAATATGCATTCCATTTTTCTTGTTTAGGCTAGTTTGAGTTTTGATTTTGTATCTATATAAGATAAGATGATGATACATGTCTGTGTCAAACAACTCTAGATTTTAGAAAAATCCGAAATCTTTCAGATACTTTATGTCTTTACATCATAGTGACCCTACTTTTTCTCTCTCCTTTTCTTCTACATTTGCTCAAAGGCTTTAGAAAACCACCCCCAAAACTTGAACAATTCAAGGTTTGCATAAAATAACTGGGGTGGCAGTGACACTCTGACACCTTGTTTTGTTCTCATCTTGGTTTTATTTGCCTTGGAGTTACTTAGACAATTGTTGGTGTGTGGTGCATGAAATATAGCACCCATGGGTCAAGAAGATGATACCTCTAGGTGTAATAAAGTTGGTGGTGCTGGTGCTGGTGGTGGCAGTAGAAAAGGTGCTGGTAGACCTTGCAAAAAGCCAAAACCAAAGAAGGTGCCTCAGAGAGGACTTGGTGTGGCACAGCTTGAAAAAATTAGACTTGAAGAAGAAGAGAAGGAGAAAGCAGCAGCAGCAGGAGGAGGAGGAGGTCCAATTGGATCATCAACCAATTCCCCCTCTGATCTGCATCTTCAATTCGCAAACTTTCCCCACTCCAATCAACCATCTTCTCAAAATTCGTTGCCTTCAAGCACTGTTTCATTAGCAAACAGTGGTGGCTCTGAGGCTTGCTGGCATGGTGTTCCACCTCAGGGGCATGTTGGTGGGCCCCAGATGTGGGCCCCCCATAATTTTGAATTTGAGAAGAAGAACTTTGGGATGGACACTAAATTGACCCTTGCATCAAGTTTGTCTTGTCAGTCCAACCCTATTAGCCCCCCCTTCAATTGGGTGCAGAGAACACAACAACATCAACAGCATCCTTCTCCATCAATTGTAAGATGTTTTAAAGTTTGATATCTCTCTTGAATTTTCATAATGGTTGTCCCCATTCATTTGGTTTGATTTTTCAGGTGAGTGCCTCCTCAGGGACTTCTTCAGCAACTGTGCCTCATTCCTTATTAGAGATCCCTTCAAACCAAAACTACATTGGAAGCTATGTTTCTAAGAGGCAGGAGGAGAGGGTATTTACAATTTCAACTGTCAATTCATTGATTTTCTCTTTAAGCTAGTGTTTTTACATGAATTTTGTTTATATATCTGAAGATATATATTTTTTTCATTGAATTGTTCATATATCCTTTATATCGATATTTTGATAAATTCATTATTTTTTATTAGATTCTTTTCCTTCGATTTTGTTTATAAAAATTGGAATGGATGAACTTGGTGCAGATGACAGGGATTAAAAGACCAAGCCCCTTCTCCCTGGAAACTCCACCTGTATCCTCTTCCAATTTTAAACCCTTCACTTTTCCTTCTCCTATAAACGCAAGTGAAGCAATTTCGTGCCGTCGTGGAAGGGAATTCAACTTGGATTTTAGCAATTCAACTATAAGGTTGGTTCAACTTTGATCTTTTGAGTTGGTAATTTCTTTGTGGTTACAAATTTTGCTTACTTACTCACCTGGTCACACCATGCATACCGTCTTCATTTGCAGGGAAATTCCTTCCCTTGAAGCATCCAACTCAGAGCTGAACTCAAAGAAAAAGAAGAAAGAGAACAAGAATTTTGGTGGGGATTTTCTTAGGTTAGCTCCTCCTATTCCATGCTCAAGTTCCAAGTCAGCTTTCCAACCATTTCACCCCCTGGTATATCCTGATTTTTATCAGATTTGGAAAAAACTCATATTAGCCATTTTCTAATTTCATTGTCCATTCTTAACTTCCCTCTTTTGTAATTGAAGGAAAACATGAAGAATCAAGTCCCTCTCCCATCAGGGTACAATCAATTCAATCAGCAAAAGCAACATTGGTACAATTTCATCCCTCCATCAGCAAATGTAGCACAAATTGGACAACAACAATCAGACAGGTTTCAGAATCATAATGTGATGGGAAGAAGTGCTAATCTCGATCTCAGTTTGAAGCTCTGAACGTCCTCTGCCCATTTCATGTGGTGTCGCTCTTAGGGCAGTGAGACTTGTTTGGTTATCTTTAATTTAATTCTATGAGTAGGTATGTAGTGTTTTCCTCTAGCCTTCAGAAGCAAGAGTGGAAAAGAAAACATAGGTGCTGATTAATTATTTGTTTGATGACTATGCTTTTATTTTTTTTAATTTTGGTGGCAGTGCTGCCTTTGGAGCTTTGGATATTTGTTCCTTTGTTAGCATTTGTTATGTTTGGATTTATGCATGCATCAGTTTAGACCATAATCTCAGTTTCATAGTATGTTTAACTATTCTTAAAAGTATGTTGGTACATTTATATTTTGTTGAAATAAAGTTTTCATGAAAGTAAGACTTGGATTTCTTTTGCAAGTCAATTTGCAATATGAAACTACTCCAAATTTATCCATCTAAAAGCAAAATATCTGGGCAAAAATCAAAATGTTCAGTGGCATTCGGTACAAGAAATTGTCATTCATCTAATAGCAGAATTGTCTATCATGCCCTTTTAGTTCTGATTTTAGTTTTCTTGTAACAGTTTATATTTATGCCCTGCAATTCTCAAGTTAATACTACGACTGTTCATGATGATTATTGTTGTTTTCTATTTAATAAATTTTCAAAATTAAAATTAAAAAGAAAATCATAAAATTGTACCGATGGACTCGAAGATTAACACAGGAGTCTATTTCATTACAAGTCAAATTGTTGGGGGTGTTTAGTTAGGTTCAATCCATTTTCTAAAATAATAAAACTATTTTTTTTATAATATTTTCCAATTTTATAATTTTTAAATCAAAGAAACAAAATGATAAATTAATGTAATAACTTTTTTATAAAAATAAATTAATTTAAACTTAATATCTAAATATTCTATTTGTGACTTGTAGAGAAGGAGTGTAATTGATAGAATAGAGAACCCTCCTGTTTTAATTTCATCTATAGATGGAACAATCTCAAGCAGCAATAAGTATATGAATGATAATTAAAAAAATATCAATAATGAAATTTAAAAAATATGATAAAACAAAATATTCTTATTTTATAAAAAGATTTCTTATTTTATATTTTTTGAACTTAATATTTATAATTTTTTTTATAATTTAAGTTTATTTTATAAATATAAAATAGGATGAAATAAATGATATTAGAGTTCTGTTGAAGATACAAATATTGATTAAGGAGAATTCAAGACAAAGGAGAATGTGAATTAAGACATTTATCTAAATTATAAAATAAAAAAAATCTAATCTATATATAAAATGTGAGGAGAGAATCTAATTCATTTAGGACATTCAACCCCTTTTTAATCATTATATATAAAAGAAGGTTTAGGTTTATGTAAAGGAAAATCTTTGAGAATTTCATAATCATCAAATAAACCAAAATTATCTCTAATTGCATCCCATATTTTCATTTCTTATCTATGTGTTAGTGGCAAATCGAGAAAAACGATCGAAATCGAAGGGAAGAAATATGACTCGATAAGATAAACAAAAATTCATTCGATATCTAATTAAAAATACGTAGCATATAGCATCGAGAAACACAATCGAGAATCAAATGAATTATAATCAAATGACTGTTGTCGAATAAAAACTAAGTCATATAAGACCAGGGTTAAAAAGGAATCGTAAGCAATTCGAAGTTCTCGAAAAATACAGAATCGAGAGTAAAGAGAGCCAATGTGGACATCGAGACTTTGACCAAATTGTGAAAGGAAGTAAGTCGAATGCACGTATAAAGAGCAGTTTTGAAATCATGGGAAAAAGTCGGAGATCGTGAGAACGTGGGAAACTATAGAAGATAAACTGCCATACGCACGTAGAACGTGGTAGTAGTCGCGTTAACTACTCCCGGAAGGCTTGAAGGATGCCCTATAAATAGAGCAAAGGAGGAAGGAACAGGAGGGACAGAAATTGGCAGAGAACAGAATCAGTAGTGAAAAGTCTACCGGAGAAACGACGAACACCATGAAGCTTCTGGCAATCTGGATTTCCTTGCTCACTGAGTACATTTACCGCTTTCTGTATTTTCCTTGGTAATTTACTTTGATGCAACTTAAATTCAACAGTTTTATGTTTCTGTATTTTCAATTCCTTGTCCATTTCAATTCAATGAAAATTTGAGTTTCTGCATTTAGATTTCCTGTTATTTAACATTCTGCAAATCTCAATTTCCTGTCATTTACTTTACATTTCCTCGCAATTTAACATTCTGTTGTTTCGATTCGATAGTCTTAATGCTTTCGATACTTTAAATACAAAACACCAAAAAAAAAAACAGCATTTTCGATATCCTGTAGTTTTCGATTCTCATACACGTTTTCGATTGAAAATCAAATTGCTAGCCTAAGTAAAAAGAGCTTACGTGGGAGAATTTCGATTAAAGACCAAAATACCTTCAGAATCGAAATCGATCGAAATTCCACCAGAAACACTATGATATTACTGAATTTTTCTTAAAAGATGTTGAAGTTGTTATGGTCACGTACCAAGTCTTTTTCTATTATGTGGTGTGATCTTGTTTATCTTATGAGAAGATAAATAAATAAGTAATCCAATTTTATTCATAACATGAAAAGTGAAAAATGTTGGACAGTCTTTTAAAATATTGGAACATGAAAACCATGAACTAGCCACCATATTTTTAGATTCATGTTACCCTGATCAAGATCATCAAAATCTTATAAGTTAGCAAACTCTATACTCAGATGTGTCATTATATATAAAGAAATAATCTCTTGAAACTTTTTGCTCTTTTCTTATAAAATTCATATATATATATATATATATATATATATATATATATATATATATATATATCAACTACTATGAAATTAACCCCCTCATCAATGATAGAACCTTGGTGTTCTTCATTTCTCTCATGGCCACATATGACATTTTTTTACTTTTCAATCACTGAACACCGCATTTCATACTGCAGGTGAAGAGAAGAATTGTTCTTCTAAAAATCATAGATTATGTAGTGAAAGAAAGTATGCAACCCACCTTATCCCACCAATCATCTAATAAATTGTCTTTTACAAAATGTCTTTCCAACAAAATCTTTTTAGCATTACAACAGTGGAGACAAATCTTGTTGGAACAATGAAAAACAATTTTAGTGAATTGAAAATCTCATCGACTGAACCATGATGAAAAAAATATTTTAAGAGTTTTATCTTCTGATATCGGGCATCCGAAGACATACTCTCTGTAAACAGCACTTTTTTTTTGGTCCGAATTCTTAGCTACACGTACGCACATTCTTCAAAGCAAGAATGAGGGTATTAACAGCACATGTTGCTTTACAAACACTCGCATTATTTGTCACGCACAACATTGGATTGTCTAATCTCCACAGTTACCTCCCTTGTATGCTTGACAATGAAATCATTTTCTTTTACCTCATATCAACAATCTTTTACCTTTCCTTGAAATTAACAGAAGATCTTTTATGTGATCATTCCATCCAGGGGACAGAGGAGGGACCACGATTTCCAAAAAAATAATTTTTTTGTAACATCTGTTCACAGAGGTTTATTAACATAATCTTGTTCTTTGGCTTGACTACAACTAGGAGCTGGCACACTCATCTCTCTACTAATGAAATGTAACAAAAGAGCATTGCATAAAGTAATTGTGGCTTTTGTTGTCACGCATATATAGCATAAATATTGAAGAAAAACTATGGCACACCAAAATAAATTATTAAGTTAAATAAATATAACATAGAAGCAGAAGATGAATACAACCGACAAACCACCTATATAAGTTAAAAAGTAAAGAAAAATAAGAAGAACTATGCCAGAAGAGAGGCTGCGTACATGAAATAAAGAACCAAACACTCTTTGCAAGCAATGGAAGTCAAAACTTGGGAAGAAAAGTTGGGAGAAGTTGCAAGAAATGGAAGTGGTGACGTGAGTCACGGGATGAAAGGATTTAGGAATAACAGAAGAAGCTTACACTACAAGTTTTTGACTTCCCAACTTCTGAAATTCATAAATTAGTCTTTTTGAATTTTTATGCTGAAGTTGGAGTGTCTGACAGATGTGGCACAGGTGTCATAAGAGTGTTTGATCCAACCAAAAATGTGTGTCCCATGTCCAACCACATGGTGGCCTATATAAATGGTAATAACTTTCTGCCTTCAAGTTCTTGGACAGTTTCTAAAATAAGTGTCCTAGAAAAGAAAATGAATGTAGTATTAGGCAAATGATCTGAAATTCTATTAGGCAAACAAGCTACATTCAAGGCTAGTAAAAATGGGGTCTCAAGTATGCTACCTATATAACCAAACATGTGGTGTGCAGTGGAATTTTGTTGCAATCAGGCATGAAAAGTGACAGAAAATAGAGGAAGCATCACTCATTGAAGAAGCAAGAAGTAAATTTGTATTAGTATATGACCCCACTTTCTTTTCTGAAAGAAATTATCCTTGCAATTGCAAACAGAAAGCAATGAAAGACTAAAAAGTTTTATATAAACAAAAATAATTACTAACTGTACCATGTTGATTGGAAGATTGATCTTTCCATATACTCTGCCAATATCCAAATTCTCTATTCAATCTCTTTGATTTTAGATACGAGACTCGATGTGGGAAGACTATGGAATGTTCAATTCAACTTAACTGAAAGTTCATCCTTCCATAAACTCAGTCTAATACAGAAACCTTCATCCAATCTCTTTATCTTTAGACTCCAGACTGAGAGAAATAAAGTAAAAAGTTGACTTTTCCTGGACCCAATCCAATACCGAAAACCTTGTAAAAGAATAAAAAACAACCCTAATAACTACGCATAAATTATGGAACAGATTTCGATAAAAAATACTAAATAAAAAATTCCGGTATATTATAATAAATGGTCATATTATTAAAAAAAGAATAAAAATCTGTTAAATTTAAAAAATAATGGTCATATTCGATTATTAAAAAGATATTTTTCAATTATAAAATTACTCATATAATTATTAATTAACTTT